TCAAACTGTTGACTTTTACTGGATATAGACGTTTACGAGCTGGCAAGACCAATGTAGCGCTACAAACTGATTTCATTCCCACTAAAGTGATGAAAGAAGCTGTCACAGGTGTCCAGGATGATATGATTTTATTTAAAGATATTGGAATACTAACGGATGGTCAATACTCAATTAAAAAGGATAATAATCAACAATGTATGAGCACAAAATTTATAATAATCCCCTTAACATTAATTCGTAATTCTTTCAGATGTATTAACCTATTCCATATCGCAAATGACCGACCGTGTCGACAAAACAGACGTCTCAACACAAACGCTTTTACCCAAAGCATATAATAAAAACATTATCGACTCAAGCCTATTTGACTTTAAGCATCACGACAAGGATGCCACTTGCGACTTCAATAAATCAAAAGAGTTTCGAGCGTTTAATTCAACTCTGGGCATACGTGATATACCCTTGAATCCTACTTTATTATCGTGGCAATTTGACGATGACGCTATTGAAATGGAGGTCAAAGAAAGTTTCATACCCTATACTATTGAGTCTTTTAAGCCGTGGCGAAGTTTTATTCCTATACCGTTTTATATAAGAAGCAACACCTTGGTGGGCAGGCAGAAAGTCGACTGGGGTTTCCTGCTCCAGTCCATTGATGACTTAGTGCGAGAGTCAAATAATTTGCTAGATAGGTTGCAAACAATAATGCATCAAAAGAATTTGCAACGCAAGCATGTGCATAAAACAATGGATGAAATAAGAAAGTTTCAACCAACAAATTTCAGATTTCCATCTGACTACTGGCTACCGATAATTGAGAAACAGGAAACACAGCTACAACTATTGCTGGACCCAAAATAAAAACATAGTCTAAAACTAAAACTATAAATAAATATTCCAAGCTATATTATTATTTGATGCACTCAATAAAAACATTAAGACATATCATAGTGGCTTTGTGTATATACATATAATAGAAAGAAGATAAAGTAAAGTTTTTTGGTTAATCATATGTCTCTGCAATACTTCATTATTGAAAAATATGTTTCCAACTAGAAACATTAAATTTGATATGTATTAATCGCAATTGCAATGCTGTTGATCATTGAGTAATGAACGGATGTCTGTTGATAGAATTCAATATTGAACAATAATTGTTGCATTTTTAGCCAGCCAACATTTTTTTAAATAACTTTTGTGTTTCTTAGCAGTTCTTGAAGAAATTTTTAGTAGTAGAGCTTATGGTATGGGGCAAGCTATCGATTATAGGAAACATACTCATACTGCACGGGCACTAGAAGGACCACCGTTCCAAAATGTTTTTTCTTTGAAATGTTAAAGATTAGAGCTGGTGCTGCTATTCGCATAAGTAAATTTACCAAATACTCATAGTAATTTTAATTCAAATCTCAAAACTTCAATTTTTTATTTAAATATCTTTAATTTCCCCTTTCCAAGTCAAAATTGTATCATTTATATGATATATAATTTATATTCCTCTAACAAATTTTATGCTTTTAGTTCGGAATCAATTTCTGTAGATTTTAACTTTGCAAGTTTGTGTTTCTTGGGTAGTAATTTCATAAGAATGCTGGTGGCCGATTTACTATCTAATGGACACGATAGGTAAAGCTCTTCACATGCCTTTTCGTTTGTCTCCTTTCCATGTTCCAATGCTTCTTTAATTGCAGTTCCGTCCAAAAGGTAGTCTACAAGCGAATTTCTACAAATAAAACAGAAATAACAACATTGGATATATTTATATAAGCGCAATTTTGCCACCACCTCCACCTGTTGGCCATAGCAACAATTCATTTTCGACGAGAAATATCGAATTCAGATAGCTATAAAATGAATGGAATGTATATATACTATTCTAGAAGCTACATTTCAAATTTGGTGACCTCGGATTTCGATAACGATTCTTATCGATTGCTTAGAAACGGGACAAGTTATCGGATATCGGAAACGAACTCGTGCTACTCATTTCAAGTCTTTAGTTCTAAGGCTCAGAGCTGCTTGCGTTCGTACATACGGACGGGCGGACAGACAGACGGTTATGGCTAGATCGACTCGGCTATTGATGCTGATCAAGAATATATATACTTTATGGGATCGGGATGGTTCTGCCTGTTACAAATATTTGTAGAAATGTTTCTAACCTTTTCAGGGGTATACAAATTGCACTCATAATATTAAAAATATTCTTTTTTTTTTATTAATGAGTTTCACTAGTTCAGGACGAAAACAAAACACAAGTTCTTAAGTATAGCTTATTTAAACTTACCTGGACAGCATGTGAATAAATTCATCCATTTGGTCGGATACTCCAGACTTTATATTCTTTTCCGTAGAGCGCACATAGCCACAGACAGCGCGTTGCATGCAGCTTGTTGAGTCGATGTTATTTTGCCCAAGCACACTTTCAATTTTGTTTATCATACTGCTCAATGAATCCAAATCATTTTCGTCCTCACCTACATACGTACGCATAGTATTGTCAGTATTGTGAATGGCTAATACGATTGAAATATAAATTGTTTACTTACTTCGTCCATAGCCTCCGTAACCACCATGAAATGCTGACAATATTTTCGGTATTAGAATTATTGCACCAATGCCTACAAGGGTGCCCAGCACAACCCCACCTAGATCCAGTTTAATGGGATTATACGCAGAAAGTCCAGAGCTACTAGGGTATCCCTATATTTATGTTCACCATAAAGAAATGAATATCAAATGTCACACATTTGTGTTAAAGGCTCTAATTTTAAAGACATACATTTAAGCTTCCATAACCAGTCGTATAACCAAGCCGTTCCAGTCTATCTTTTGTTGATGCAGCTTCCGGCTCATTCAGCCGAGTTTTGTTTTCATTCTCATATGTTCGACTCCATTGCGTATTTTCTGTGTATGTTCTGAAAATCAATATTTAAAAAAATCAATTATTAAATATGCCCTGTGTCGAGTTGCCGTTATAAACATTCTAACTTCCTTCTAAATGTATGTATGTATCTATGTATATATACAATTAAAATCACACCCACACGCCGCTTTATGCGCTTTACTTTTGGCCCAAGGCATAAATATGACACTTAAATATGCGTAAAAAAAAATTCAAAAGGAGAATGTTTTAATTTTTGATGGTTGGGCTAGGTTTCCAAAAAGTGAAATCTTTTCATTCTGTATACAATATATATAAGAGAAAATATATGCCAAGTTTGGAGTATCTGGCTTAGCTAATTTTGAGCTATGCTTAAAAATAATCTCAAAAAGGATTTCTGATTGATATAATATCATGAAAATAATGGAAATATCGAATAATAGATTAACACACATTTATAATTTCAAATGTGTAGTTTTCGAGACCGACCTCGCGTCATACAGTATATAGCGTAGATAAATTTTTAGTCACAGTTTGAAGTAATATTTTAAGCGACTTGTACATATATGTACTTGAGTATAAACATTTGGCAAACTCACTTTGGTTTGCTTTCAAATTTTGGAATCCCTTCTGCCATGGTTAGGAAAAACAATATGCAACTAAGGTGCAGAACGGTTAACTTTTTAGTATCCATTCCGAAATTTATTGTGAGATTTTCCTTGTGTGTGGTTTTCCGCCCGTAAGTGTGGCCTCAGCTCTGCGACTTTAAATTTCAAACTAATAATTTTTAATATGTCTTCGCTTATATTTATATGCGCGCAAGACACTGAATATGTTTAGTGAGTTACTTAACGATTCCAGCAATTTGTAAAAAATATAAATCGTAAGCCAAGTGCTGACTATTATTCGGTTTATGCATGTGTGCATACACACATGCATATATATAAAACATAGCTATTAGGCATAGAGTCGTATGCTTGCAAGCAGGTTGTCGCACATAAAGTACTAAGTTAAAAAGGAAATCATTGTAGCACAACGACAAGTTATTACATCTACCCCAGCATACCTATAAACATACACACTACGTTAAATATGCCTGAACACATACTCTTCATACTCAATTATTTCGCAAAATACACACAGAATGTGTGTATGTCTGAAATGACTTAAAACGACATTAAATTACACGATATTTAAGTGTGGGCTTGTGACTATAATGCGCAGCAACATCTTTGACAGTTGCTGGAATATGTGGAAGTCTTTGCACCTGCAACTCGCACAATCATAGGATGCACTCGACCAAAAAATGTCTGGTATTAAGTCACTGACTGTTGCGCTACAGGGCTTCCTATTAAGTACTTAAATATGCGAATATTTTTATATTCATTCAATTACACAGATGGAGCTACAGTCTTTGCAACTTTGGCAGCTGTATGTCGAAATTTCCGAATCAAAGGTGTCTTGCTTATTGGTATTATCGACATCACATACCTTTTATCCTGTGGATAACTGGCCACCTATGATAATAAATAGCCAAGGTTATGTTGCTGGAAGTGCCATTTTCGTTTGATAACTTAATAAACCAAACAAATTAATTGTATTTAAAAGCTCTAGTTAATAATTGTCGATTTTCAGAGACAAACTCTATCTGCGCAGGCACTAGGTGGTCCTACAGATAAAAGTCTCAAGTCTAGCTCTTTCAGGTTCTGGGGGCGGGATGGACGGGCGGACGGACGGACGGACGGACATGGCTAGATGGACTCGGCTGATCAAGAATATATATGCTTTATGAGGTCGCAGATGCATCCTTCTGCCAGTTACATACATTTGCATAAGTTATTATTATTATTATTATTATTATTATTATTATTATTATTCTTATTATTATTATTATCATTATACCCTATTACCAATTGAAAAGGGGTAAACAAATTGTTTTCTCGGTAGGGCTTGCACCTGCAACAGACCGAACCACTTGCCAACGCCATTTGAAAATAGCTTTAAAGACAATCCTTTAAAATGGTTAGAATGTTGAAAACTGTCAGTCAGAACAAAAGTTATAAGTATATACATATGGAATTTTATATGTACATATATTCAATTGTCTGGGCATTTATTGTCAAACTTCACAAAAATTGGCGAACAAAATTTAGTAACGAACACAATATTACAAAATTCGAATTAAAAATGAATATTTTAATAAAATGGGTTTTGACTTAGAGCGCATTTGTTGTAATCCACCATCTAGGTAAGTATATCAAAGCGATTGCGTTTTATACTCTAAACTCTTTGAAAATTGGTAAAAAAAAAAAAGCATAAAGTGCTTGCAACTGGCCGAAGCATGTATTTACGTTCCCATATATTTTATCTTATTATTTATTTTGTATGCAGTTCATCTAGTACAGAAAATATTTTTGGCAACGAAAACTACAACAAATGCAGTCCATGCGGTTGTTATTCCTGCTGTAGAAAATCCTTTTTGAGTGACCATACCTATTCGATACTTAAGCGCGTTTGCCATAAGATAATCAAAAGTTACAATCGACAGCAATGCCGTGAAAAGTATACAATATTCGATGGAGGCAACAGCATAAATAGCCGATGGTCAGAGAGGCAAGATCAATGTGATAAGAGCAAATTTAAATTGGATGAAAAGTCTTGTAAAGAGAGAGAGTTCGGAGAAAAAAATAAAAAGGGAAAAGATCGTGGCGAAAATGAAAAAGATGATTCAAAGATGGGAAAAGGACGTGGAGATAGTCGAGCCAAAAAAGATGCCGATGATAGCGATCCTAAAAAATCGAAAAAACCAGCCAGCGGTGGAAAGGAGGCCAATGATGAAAGCGATTCGTTGAAAAAATCAAAGAAGCAAGGAAGTGGTCGAAAAGACGACAAAGCTGAAAAATTGGATTCTTTGAAAAAATCAAAGCGCGGTAAAAAAGATGGGGATGAAGGCGATGTTGTAAAAAAATCAAAGGTTCCGGGCACAGGTGAAAGAGATGATAAAATTAACGATGATTCATTAAAATCGGAAAAATCAAGAGGACGCGAAAAGAAAATTGGTAGTGATTTAAAAAATTCAAGGCCATCGAATAGCAATGCCGACAAAGAAAATGGTAAAAAAGGAAAAGAAAAAGCAAACAAAAAAGAAAAGCAAACACCACTAAACGAAACTGACTTAAACGCAAAACCTGAAATAGAAAAAAAAGGCAAACAAACAAATGACGAGAAAGGACAAGGGACAAAAAATAGGAAATCTAAAAATCTTAATAAAAGTGAAAATACAAATATAGATGCGAAGGCTTCCGGCCGCGAGAGTTCAATAAAAAAGAAAAATAGAAAATCTCATAGAGACACCACTGGTGTACATGAAAGAGAGAAATTGAGTCGCAAGGGTGATATCCGTAGCTCAAGAAGATCGGGTCATAATATAAGAAATCGAAAATCAGGTCGTCCATTATCTAGAGGAAATAGCAGATCGAGGTTAGGGAAAGGTATCAAAGGATCGAAATTCATACAGGACAACAGGAGATCGAACATAAATGAATCATACTCTCGGAGACCTAGTCGCGTTGATGAAGTTCGGACCTGTGATATCCTTCGTGTTCATTTGGAGAAACGCGACCTTTCAAGATGGTACTCACTCTTTATTCTGAAAATCTCAGTTAAATATTCACTTAATACCTTTCTTATAGCATTCCAAATGGATGCAAAGTTTGTCGAGTGTGTATTCATAATTGTATGCCGTGCCCACGAGTTATCTGTTGAACACACGATGGCTGCTGCGATAACATTCGGCTGTATTCTACGGACTCACCTGGAAAAAACTCTTTATAATGGTATGCCATTTTTTATTCCTTTTCACTTTTAATTCATAGCACTTCCATATATATATCCCTCAGCAGGATATAGAATTTTGTTTAAACTGTGTGCATCTCACAAAGTGGACATCTCAAACTTTGTTAAATACATATGTTTATACTTATTTATAATGAGCTTCAAAAACTAAGTTAATTAAGCCATGTCCGCTTGTCTGTGTGCTGATTTTTGTTTAATATAGTCCCCCAACTTCCGAAAATTAGAAATAATTACAATTTTTGAAAATAAAACAAAATACCTAGCGACGAGACATTTTTAGCAGCTCATTACGGATGAAGAGGTTTTAGGTCTATCACAAATACGGGGTTCATATTTGGACATATTTTGAATAGTATAAGTATAATACTTATAATATAATATATGTATATTATTTAACAGCTTGATAACTTACTCAACGCCTTAATTTCCAGAAAGGATTATAAAATATGTCAACGAGTAATCGAGTTTCAAGAGCATTTTGGGCTGAATATGGTGTTTTGCATTAAATATTTTAAAATGTCTTAGCTTTTGAATATAAATAAATATTGTTTGGTTGTTGGAAATGAAGAAATCAGTATATAACATGGGCGTTAAAACTCGCGGAATCTAGAGACTTTGTGATAAGCTTACGCTTGGCGCTGGAATTAGGTGTGAAGGTTGCGGTGTGAGTGTGAGTATATATGGTATGAGTATATAATGTGTGTATAAAAACACTAACAGAAAAAAAAGAAAAATATATATATATATATCAAACAATATTGAGCTTAAAAAATAAGTCCGATATGGTCGATGTTCTTGTTGGTTTAGTAATGTAGTTTTCTTGGATATTTTATCAGTTTGCAGTTCGGAGAGTTTGTCATTAAAAATGCTCTTGCTACCGTTTGTTAAATTTGGACCAATCTTTCTTTGAAAATGTTGTTTATTAGATTTCTAAGGAATCATTTTAACAAAATTAGTTCCGTCTTATCGGCTTTCAAAACCGTCAAAAATATTAAATAAATACATGTTTCGGAGGTTTGGAAAATTTCACCCTCAACTGTGTGATCTTGACAGAAAATTCGGTACTTGTGTTAATTTTCGGTTTCACGCTCATTCTTAAAGATCATTATAAAAACTTATTTGATACGATTTTAGCAAAATTCACTCGGATGAAAAATACGATTCAAAGGTTAAGCTTTTAACCACAAGAATCCGATAAAATAAAGACATTGATTCCAACTTGTAGTTCCTTTTTTTGGTGGACTTTAGGCACATTTTTTAATAGACGTGCAGTTAAAAATATAATAAAACTATATCCTAATACTGGTTTACCTGTTAAGAAGATAAAGTAAAGCATAAGTGAAAATGCGCTTAAGATGCATTTAACATTGATAGAAAATTCAGGGTATTCCCTAGTCATACACACCCGCCCCGAGTACTCTTTGTTTTTTGTGTGTCATCTTCCTCTCCCGAAATGAACGGAATGTCTCGAAAAGAATAACAATTTAATAATATCGAATGTTCTAGATTTCTGACGTGAGTCTGCATACAAAATTCTCTTTGCTTCGTTTGTCGCTATTCGCTCTCTGTAATCGTGCTATTGATCTTGAGATTTCAAGGTAGAATATCTTTGTTGAAAATTAATTGTAATTTTGACTATTTACTTTTAATTTAGGCAAATTAAAGTTGTTTTGTAGTGCAAGTGAGGGAGCACATAACTATTATACCATATTCTTGATGGCACTTGAGCACTATAAAAAAATTTTAAAATAAAATAAACGTAGGTGTAGGTCACGTATTTGATTTACTCAAACATCATCATTTTAATGGTTGTTGACATCCATGATATACATATTTCTATATACAAGCCTATTACTACTTTTGACCGAGAGACTAGTTTACCTTTGTTCGTTAAACATTTCGTGAAAAAATTACAATGCCCTCTATAAGGTATTTAAGGCACACCATCGATTATATCGATAATGCCTCGCAGTTTTTATCAGATCTTTATAAAGTTTGGGTAGGTTAAGGTTGAAATATAGCATCTAACCAGAGTTTTTATTAAATAAAAATAGTTATTTATTGTTATGGCAAGCTAGTTTTGCGTATTATATTGGAAAACATAAGTATCTATCTTTCAAGTATCTAGATTATGAAGTTTTTAGATTAACGTATTATATGCAAGGGTTATATAGATTTAATTGATGATTTAGAAATCGGGCGCATTAACATATTAATAAAAACATAAGTTTTCTTTCGCTTTATATATACATTTGCACAAAATTATATTATTTCAACATTTTTCGCCAACAGGCGGAAAAATGTTGACATTCACTGTTATCTTTTCTACAAACATGTTAATAAAAAAAGCGATTTTAGCGAGCTCCAAGGTCGGAGAATATGTGAAAAAGTGTAATATAAATCTCTTTTAAGTTTTATAATATATTTTCAATGACTTCTTAAAATTAATCAGAGGTGTTTCACACTAAAAATAAGAAAAATTCACTATTTGGACGGGGTGATAGGAGGGGTATTAGGCAGGACTGCAAAATAACAAATTTTTCATTTACAAAAAGTTGAAGGCAAAAATGTATCTGAAAAATCCTTGGCGTCGCCAAGGCCGCGTAATATCTGCTAATAATACCGACATAAAGCTTTAAATATATAAACATTGTTTATTATTTTTTGTTTTTTATTTATTTCTGGACACTGATTAAGGTTAATGTCATGAATATGTCGTCTTTTCGCCATGTTTTTATTTATATGTCTGTGTGTGTGCGGGTGTGTGTAAATGGATATAATAAGTATCTACGTAATATACAATATATACATTATGGATATAAATATAATTATGCATCTTATTACCTTGACTAATTATATATTTGTGTCTAAAAGTATTTTATAAAAATAGGTGCTCGAATAGCAAACACCCTGTAGCAATGCTCTATTCGATTACGTATATGCATTTCTGGTGCCCGACTAAGAGATACCCTGAACGGAGCGCCGAATTGCCTTTACACATATTTACCCGTCCTCTGTACATATATACATATTTATATCTTATTTTCTTAGCTCCACACTGTGGGAAATGCATTTCTTATTAAGTTGCGATTCTTACAAAAATTGTCAGTGTAAGAATTTTGTGTCCGAAATGTCAAAGTCCAAGCCCAAAATTAAATTTTTGGGGCAAAGGTACATTTGTGTATATTATATGAGATGCTATACTGCAACCTTGTTGCATCTAACTCTTTTAATTGTCGAGGTATGCCCTTAAGACAATGTCTCTTGATATTTATGGATAACTAAAGAATATAAATATTAAGATGGACCTTGATTGATGGGCCTTAGATACTTAAATAAGCTTTATGTGGCTTTGTTCTGCAGAAATGTGAATACAACTTTTATACCCTTCTTATTGTAAGCACGCTAGAGTGCTCTATTGGGAGTGCCTGGAAAGGAGATATCCTAAACCCGCACATAGCTTCCGTTACAAACAATGTAAATACTTATATAGAATCATTAACAAAATCACATGCATAGCAGATCCCGTTTGATTTAGGGTATCTTCTAATCGGGCACTCCCGTCGAGCGTACTCTTGTTAAATGTTAACTGTTTATTGAGCATAAATCATGAGTAAAGCAAGGTATTTTGCTGCATATCTTTTTCTATTATTTTTTATCAAAATGCGTTCATATGCGTTCTGTTTTTCTACGTTTTGCTGTTCAATATTGTAATATACGTTTATAGAATGTGTGTATATGCAACAATATATAGTTGTTTATTTATGTACATTCATTGGAATATCTTTGCGTGTGCAAAACGAAAAGTTTAACGATTTTACATATGTACATAGATACAAATTATAAAAGAAATCGCACGCTCTTCATTGACATGAGAGATTTAAATTTTTGTTATTCCAAAAATAAATTTAATATAGCCAATGAAAGAGAGAAAGAAAGAGCGAAAGCTTTTCAGATTTTTGTAATTCAAAAATTATAAGAAACCATTCTATCCAGCTCTCTAACAGAACGACTCGAACGGGCATCAAGTTAAGAACACGAAAATCGAGATACCTGAATCGATAATAACGAATAAGTGATTCTTACTGTTACATTTTAATCATATTTGAAAATTAAATATTTAAAATGGTTTACGAAAGTGGATTTACGACCCGCAGAACTTACAGCTCCAGACCGGTGACTACGTCATATGCCGTAACGGTAAGTTTTAAATTTTAAAGCAACGCCAATGTTGGCTTGGCCAACAAGAGTTATGAGATTTTCATTCCATAAAATCTGTTAAATTATATTGTTTGAGACTTGTGCAATATGTGCAATTTTTCATGCATGCATATACATAGAAAACCGATGCAGCAGATAAGTTTAACGTTTTATGAAGTGAACTTCGTCATGTATGGCATTAGCTACACTCCAATGAATATGCGAAGTACGTTTTTTTTTTTATTGCTTCTATCCTACTTGCTGTATTCCGCAATTTCATTTGAGTAAATTTCAATCAGTTAAAGAAATTGAAACACGTTTGAGCACAGAAATATCTTATAATTTAGTGTAAATAAATACATATGAATATCGTATTAGGATTAAAAAGCACAAATGCATACATATGTATTTGCCTAAATACATGCACATGTAAAAACTTAAGCTTACAAAGGTACTTACATACTTACTAATTTGTGTTTGAACACTGGAATTTTATATTGTTTTGATATTTTTTTTATACACTTTTTAGCCATTTTTAATGGAAATAGTTTTATTTATATATGTAGCTTGCATATATGCATGTATATTTACATCTATATATATATAGAGTATATATACATTCATACATTGTAAGCTACGTATATATATAGTTATATATATAACTAAGTGTTCAATATTTTGTTTGACTTTCTCTGTTTCTGCATACAGATATAGGCAAACGCCCGACCCACTTACGAACTGACTATGAACAAGTACATGAGTACTATATATATTACATGCCTGCGCAATGTAAATGTATTAGTTGAGAATTTAATAATAAGCATTAACAAGTTCAAAATTGTGTAAGTATGAAGGTATATATTTGAAATGAAGTACAGCTAATCAGTCAGATTGAAACATAATAATTTTCTTGACAAGAGTGATATATTTTTCCGTTACCTTGGAATGCACTGAGAATTTTTCAAGGTTATGACTATTTTCTCTATCGTAATAATTTCTAAAAATGTTACGATTGGTCATAGACTCGCCAACATCATTGGCAAGCATGCAAATCAAAAAGCTTTTCTGCTCTCAAATTCCAAATTTAGCTTTGTGTATATACACCCATGTTTATATTCATAAAAGTTTGTATGTCCATCATGATGACCAATAATTGTACAGACTGATATATTTTAAACTGAACTACAGTATTGATGCAAATTTGGTGAATTTTGCGAATAGTAATTACTAAAAATGGTTATAATTTTTATTAATGAAATGAAAATGTTTATACATTTCTGTTTTTTATTATGAGTATAGACAACTTTTGTATTCGAAAATAGTTCTCTTTATTGTTCTTTCATTGTTTTGAGGTCGATAATCTATATATACTATTAATA